ATGGAAATCGCGGCGATTAAATCGCGACGATGAAATCGCGAACTCTGTCTTGGGCCTGCAGTGGGGACAATGAGCGATTCGAACCCAAAGCCGATCTCGAGGAACTTAGACGATCCGCCCTTCAGGAAGCGGGAACTTCCTCGGATTTGAGACTTATTTTGGAGAGACTTTCCCAAAGTATTCATTCGGCTGTATGTTACAATTCTGCACCTATTGTCACTACGCCAAGTTGAGAAGGCGTACTATGGAGGACACTAAGCATGTTGCATACAAAAGTTACAGCGCTTTTTAGTACTCGAGTGCCACAGTCGTGGATTTAATTTTATTTGATTTATCGAGGAAAATGCTAATTGTTCGTTTTACAGTTTGACCAGGGAGGCCTTAGCCTGTCGCAAAGAATATACTTATTGAAACACGTTTATGGCGCGAAGATCAACGTCTTCAAGAAGTTCCTTGTTAATAAAGTAATAACTTCTTTGTAAGCGTTCAGACTCAATCTCTGTAATTTTGATTGTAGGTCAGGCTGTTCCAGAAGGATGGAAAGCTGCCTAGAAACCGAACAAAAACCGAAAAAGATATAGACGAGATTATTAACTTCGAAGCCAAATTAGCGGCAATTCAAACTACACCGGAGGCTCGAAAGGATCACGAGAAGTTTTATAACCTTCGCCGTATAAGCAAAATGCGAGATTATATGCCTTTGGTTCGTGCGTATGCACGTGTGTTCCGCGAAAAAACGAAACGAACTAATCAAGCGATAAATTATCTTCGTTTAGATTGACTGGGACCGTTTCTTCTACAAAGTAGCTCCAGTGGCTGCCCATAATTATTTTAGATCAAATCCACAAGTTCTCATCCGAGAAATTGCTTATTTGCACAGGTAAGTCGGAATCGTTTCCTTTGTTTATATTATGTAGTGAGGTAGTTAGTTCAGAATAAGCAAACTTTTAAAAGAAACGGACCCCCGCATTATCACAAACTACGTTTTTATGCGATATTCCTCAATTCTAACAAAAGAGATGGGAGTAAAATATGATGACGTTACTCAGGTGAGAAATTG